ACTGACAGACTTCCAGTCGACGATACCTACAAGGTGGGGAAAAAAATTAATTTAATATATTATCTTAACTTGTTAATTTCATAAAAGTAATACTTACACATACTGTCCAGTGTCCACTGTCCAGCCAGGCAAAGTGAGCTTTTTTTTTTTTTTTTAGAAAACCTGGATGGTGGACGGTTTCATTCAACTTTTTGCACACTGTGACTGAGAGTGAAAGGCTTTGTCTCCTTCATACAACATCTAGAAGAATGTGACTGAGCACCTCTGGTGGTAGCTGGAAAAACTTTCAACAGACACGCCCCCTGCCTTTCCACATGACCATTACTCCAAGCTGCTGCTACCTCTGTCTCATGTGTTCTGCAGTTTTCACTCTTCAGTCTCAGTTCAGTTCAGAAGAGACCGTTTTCGAGCATGTCAAACTCCAATACCAGTAAGTAATCACAAAATTTGTATAATGTATTTAAACTTTTTATTATATTATTGTAAAAAATAAAAACATAAATATAGAGTGAAGTTTAATGTTTTTGTGCAAAACATAACTACTTTTTACCTACAATTTGAAGTGAACAACTGAAATATTACAACTTTAAAACGTGAACTGTTAAAAAACCCTATTGTTTTCTATTATTTACATATAGGCCTATAGTATACCATTAGGCTATTAATTGTAAAGCCTGAGTTTAAAAAACAGCAGCAAGAAAGTTGAAACCCATAAGGTGTTATTATTGTCATGTTGTGTTTGTAATAAATAATCAGAGCTGAGTGAAAGGAGATTTGCTATTGTTTGTTATAATTTTGTGACAGTGTATGTGTATGCACCAATCAGGTGCGTTTCTCAAAGCCATTGGTCTGTGTTACATACAGAATCACCAAGGAGGAAGTTGAGGATTTTCTGCCGCCATGATTCACCCTTTCCGACTATCGTTCTTTTCTCTTTGGCAACATTATTCACTGTCACAAGTAAGTAAATGATTTTAACATGCGACAGTATTGAACATGTGGTGTTTTAGCAAACACAATAAATATTGAATAGCCTATAATACAAATAAAAAAAATTCAGCTATCTGTATATTTGTAATTTTGTTTGTAATTATATTATTTTAGAAAGCAGGCATTGTTCATAATTACACAAGATAAAACAATTGAAGTAACGTTAGTGATATATTTTCAGGCGTATATGGGCAAATACTTCTAACCTTTTTATACGCATAGGCTATTGCATATTTGACTAAAATATTTATTGAAATACTTTACCAAATTTATATCCTCCTAACGTCGATAAAACGAGCTTAACGAGACGGTATGAAGATGTTTGTGAGGGCTGTGCTCTGGTATAGCCTAACGCTTTTGAGCTCCTACCACTGAAAAACACTGTTTTTGATTACAAGCCGATACGGTGATTTAAAATATCAGAGGTGCGGTTAGTAAGAATAAACTATTTGTAACCACGGTTTAAACCAATAAATGATGAAGGCTCATGATCGCAAAAGATAGGCAGAATGAGGGTTTAATGTGTGGGGTGAATGCTCTGCATCTTCACTGTGTCAGTCGGTGACCAGAAATGAGAAAGAGTGCGGAAGTTGTAAGTTGAAGCTTTACTTTTTCTCACTCGATCCCCATGTATGCGCCGACGAGTGTGACGTTTAAGTCATTTTATTAAACGCGGGGAAAATACGCCATCTCTCGTGCATCTTTTCCTCCGATTGTTAACCTATATTGTTTTTCTCTCTCTGGGCAACATTTCAACTTTGCGTTACAGTAGTGCATTTAGACCACGCCCAATACGGTTGGAAACGCACGTAGGTTGGTTATTATTGGTTTGACAAGGTGAGCTAGGCGTGGTTATTGTGAGGAATAATGGCTTGAAAGGCGTGGTTATTAGCATGGTAGACGCCGAAGATCCTCAAGCTTACTGCAGCGAGCACGAGCAATCAGGCAGTCCGTTTAATAAAACCAACTAAAAACACGACATCGAGCTGCATTTTGGATCAAATTGAGGAGATTCCGCATTGTTTTGTTAAAATATGAAGTTAATTTCCACTGTCTTCGTGTTACTTCACTTAGTGTTGGTTTCAGGTAGGCAGAGAGTGGACGAATTGGTTGTTTTTAACTGTAAATCTAAAGTAAATGAATGTCAGTTCATCGCTCGTTATTCTAAAGCATTGATTGTCATCCTAAACACTTTCTTTCTGTTTAACAGTCGATGCTTTACTTGCTGAAGGGTCGAAGATCGAGGCGAATCATGGAGAAAACGTCACACTGCCATTCCCGATGGATAAAGCGGAGGAAGCCGATAAATTGAGGATCATTTTTAAAGAAGAAACTACAAAAAACATGTTTTTGATCGCACAGAAGTGTGCCCCTCATGATGGATGTGATAATGTGGACACACCTGGAGTCGCAGTGATATTTGGAAAAGGATGTTTGTCTGTAATCCTTCAGAAAGTGGACATCTCCAGATCTGGACTCTATATAGCAGAAGCTTGCTTTGGAAAGGACGTGTTTGAGGAGAAAGCTACACTTGTGGTCAACAGTGAGTATTGTTACTATAATCTCTGTTTGCATGTAATGTACTAGAAGAATATACTCTGAAAAGTTTGGAAACATTACTATTTTTAATGTTGTCGAAAGAAATGTTCTTCAAGCCTGCATTTATTTGATCACAAATACAGAAAAAAAACAGTAGCCTAAAATTGTGAAATATTATTACAATTTAAAAAATGTTTATATGTGAAGAATATAGTAAAGTGTAATTTATTCCTTTGATCAAAGCTGTATTTTCAGCATCATTACTCCAGTCTTCAGTGTCACATGATCCTTCAGAAATCACTCTAATATGATGATTTATTATCAATGTTGGAAACAGTTGTGCTGCTTAATATATATATTTTTAAACATGTGATAGTTTTTTTCAGGATTCTTTGATGAATAAAGAGTAAATAAAACAGCATTTTATTTAAAATTGAAATCTTTTGTAACAATAGCCTATATACACTACCGTTCAAAAGTTTGGGGTCAGCTATTTAAAAACAAGAGAAGGAAATCGGGAAGGATGTTAAATTGATAAAGTGATCGTAAAGATTTATATTGTTAGAAAATATTTATATTTTGAATAAATGCTGTTCTTTTGAACATCAATGAATCCTGAAAAAAGCTCCACAGGTTCCAAAAACATATTAATCAGCCCAACTGTTTCCAACATTGATAATAAATCTGCCTTGTATGAGCATGTTTTCCTTTTCTTTAAATGTTGTCGTGTGTGTGTGTGTCCAGTAGGCTTCACTCGTGGTGTGTGTGTGTGGTGTGTGTGGTGTGTGTGTGTGGTGTGTGTGGGTGTGGTGTGGGTGTGTGATCAGTGGAGCGGTGTTTTGGGAGGAAACCAATCTGACTTTTACTTAAGATGGAATGTTCCTCAATGAAGTCTAGCATTCTTTTGTTTAGAATGCTACAGAATAGTTTGCCTAGACAGCTGCTGACAGAGATGCCACGGTAGTTATTAGGGTCTGATTTGTCCCCACTCTTATGAATGGGGGAAATGAGCCCTTTGCACCAGATTGTCAGGAAAACATCCTGACTGTAGAACGATATTGAACAGGAAAACATCCTGACTGTAGAACGATATTGAACAGCTTTAACACTGCCTTCCAAACACCAATCAGAGTCAAGCAAATCATAGCACAATGCAAAGAAACCTATCTGGAACATTGGAAAGAAGAAAAAAGCCAAAGTAGACTAGAATGTTATCTGACCCTAAAAAGAGATTATAAATTAGCAGAATATCTCTCTACTGTCAGAGATAGAAAGCAGAGACAGATCCTAACCAGGTACAGGCTCAGTGATCACAAATTGGCAATTGAAACAGGAAGACACAAAAAATCATGGCAAGCAACCAAAAGAAAACAGAACGTGTGATCACTGTTTGACAGGTGAGGTTGAGACAGAGATGCACTTTCTCCTACAATGTGAAGCGTTCAAAGACACAAGGAACCTTTACTTTAACAAATGTAACTGTATAATCCCAAATTTTAAAGACCTGAATGAAATTTCTAAATTAAACTTTCTCCTGGGAGAAGGAGACAGAACTTATCTTGCTGCCCAATATGTACAAACATGCCACAACCTGAGGGGCAGTGAATGACCGACACACACACACACACACACACACACACACACACACACACACACACACACACACACACACACACAATATATCCAACATTGTGTTAAATGTTTATATAAAATATATATATTATATATTTTATTTGTATATTTTGTATATGCTTTGGCAACATTGTTTCAACAAATCTGCAATCTAACATCAGTGTTGCTGATAAATCAAGTGAGTGTTTAGAGGAAGACAATGTGTCAGTCAGAAAACACATCCTAATAACTAAATGTTGTTTATATATATATATATATATATATATAACAAATAGAATTTAAAGAAATAATTGAATATGGCTCCTACAACTTGTGTGTGGACATTTCAGTAAATAATAATCGAGGCGTCCATTAACAAGCGCCGTCCAGCCAGTAATGACTGATGAAGATTCAGCTTTGCATCAGAGAAATATATTTTAAAACATATTAAAATACAAATCCATTATTTCACAATATTACTGGGGTTTTTTTTTCTGTATTTGTGATCAAATAAAAACAGGCTTAATGAGCATAAGAGACTTCTTTCAAAAACATTAAAAGTAGTAATGTTTCTCAATGACCGGTACTGTGTGTGTGTCATTATTATACACCGTAACAAGCAAATGCTTTTTGAAAAATCCTCAGTTGAAAACATTTATAAGTGATTACATTCGGGTAATCTATATAATTAGATGATTTAATGATTTGGAAAAGAAGAAAATTGCATTATTTCTGCGAACACACAGATCGATTCAAAGAAAGAGTAAAAGCTTGACAGATTGTGAGAAATATGTGGTAATTTTGGTTTTACTGTTTATGATTCTCTTATTCGTTGCTGATTCTGTTCTTGTCTCTTCCAGAAGCTCCAGTTTCCTCCAGTATATCTCCTCCACACTCCTCCTCCAGCCCAAACCCTCCCAGCTCCTCTCAACTACACTGGCTTTATGCTTTAATAACTGCATTCATCTTCATCATCATCATCATCATCATCATCTGTATCAGCTGCTTCTGTAGAAGGAGGAGGGCAAGTATTACTTACATTTATTCTTTTATCAGTGGATATGAGCATTATTGCAGTTCTAATAATCTGAGTCTGTATTCACCAAAATCTTTCGGCTAATAGTTTCTTCTAATGTGTAAATTCAGGAGCAGCTCTTAAACATGAGGCGCTTCGCTCCTGATTTTACATCTCAAATATTTTTCCTCTGAGAGTAATTCAAACATTTAACACTAAAAGCAGCAGCTGAACCCAGAACAGTTTAGATGTCGCCCTCAGGACTGTATCACTAAAACTGACTGAAACGATCTGATCATCTGGATCTTCATAACAGTTTAACAAACTTTCCTTTTGGTATCTTCGTTTTAAAGGCCCTCGATGGTTCAGTCCCACAGATATGGAGATCTTAATGCCACTTTATGAGTGAATTGCTCACATTTCAGTGGTAAAAAAACAAATGTGGGTCACTTTGCATACAATCTAATACTTTTTTGTTTAAAAGAGGAAAATCTAAAGAACAAATGTTAAAACTACAAATGCATCTCATTTTTTCTATCCATACAATCGCAGAGAACATGTCCGTCTGAGTGCCATAAATATTATTTTCCTCAAGTTTGCCTGTAACTCTAAAAGTAATGAAGATATCTTTAGATCCTTCTAGATTCTCATTCTTCGTAAACTTTTCTTTAGACATCTCACCCAATGTGACGCAATGTCCAAATTGTTAAATTTGACCCAATTTCAGTGGTCAAGAACCAAATGTATGTAATGTTTTAATAGGAACCAGAACCAATCTGATCCGATACCAAAAATTCAGGGTTTGGACCGAGACCGATCCAATAATAGAGCAGTAAAAATAAAAATAAAAATCAGTGTAGAATTTCTATACTTTTGTGTTAAACACAATCTACTAAATACAGACAAACTTCATTATAGAGAAAAACAACATATGTAAAAAATATATAATCATAATCTATGACAATCTTATTATAAATGAGATTAATCGATAATTCAGCATCAAAAGTTGCTATAAATTCATGAGTGCACATTAATAGTATAAAATCTAAACATTACTGAAAAACTTTGTTTAGTGGGAAACAAAAGTAAATAAGCATAGAACTAAATCTGATATGTTACACATTGCTCTTTGTATTGCTGTAAAATAACAAAATTATAAATATATGTAATAATAAAGAACCCCTGTTAATAGTCAGGTATCCCCCTATTTTAAGTAAAAATCAGACTAGATATACATTCGATCTGTTCTGTGTTTTTGTACGCCACAAGAGAGGAGAGGAAATGAAACGGATCGGGGTTTCCTCTGTTCTGATGTGAGCCGCAAACACAGTGAAGCATAAAGACGGGACACTGAGGTCTGAGGCTAAATGATTTAACATTTGCCACTAAACCTCGCAAGAATATATAAAAAAAAAAATATATATAGGATATAATGCTCCCTTTATTCATTACTGTTTATGCTGAATATTAAAAAAAATGTGATAAAAAAAGAATATATTTAAGAGTATATTCCAACATTCACTGAAACACACAAAGTTCTGTAAGCGTTCACACAAATATTATGGCCCTGCATTAATAATTTACTTTGTTTGCGCCCCCAAAAATAGTTCAGCACCGCCGCCACTGGCTTATAGTCATTGGGTCTCATTCATGAAACACGAGCAGAACGAATTTTTGTGTAAATCGTGTGTAAAGTGGTTCTGGCGTAAATTTTCGGATTCATTAAAATGTTCGTATTTTCCAAATGTTAGTTGGTACACAAGAAATCTACTCCTGCTCCCAGCCACGCGTAAATAGTGCGCTTAACACCCGAACGTTTTGCTCATTAATAACCAAGGCTGCATTTTAATTCACCATTAATCGGGTACATATTTGCACAGCATTTTGAAAAAATATTATATATAGTAATTACATACGGTTTTTCTTATTATGAGAGCCAGTACCGTATTTTCCGCACTATAAGGCGCACTTAAAAGCCTTTAATTTTCTCAAAAAACGACAGTGCGCCTTATAATGCGGAGCGCCTTATATATGGATGGTGAACACACGTTCACCAAGACGGGGAGACAGCGCCGGGCGACTTACGCCACTATCTGCCAATGGATCGTGGATGCCTGGGCTGATATATCAGTCTCCTGTGATCCGAGCTTTCACGAAGGCAGGAATAATCTCTTTATTCAGCCGGCTCACACACCCGTATTTACTTCCTGTTTTCGGCCGAAGTCCACAGTAGTTGATTGTCGAGTTCGCGCGCGCGCGATCAAACCTCCTCCGTGTGTTCAACATCTGATTCGGATGAACTATCCGAACTATCCATTTGAGCTGATATTCTCAGAACACCACACAGCACCGTCATCGGCTGACAGTCTGAGTCTCCACTGTTGCTTAGTTACCAATGATCGCGCGCGCACTCGACAATCGCCTACTGTGGACTTCGACCGAAAACAGGAAGAAAATACGGGTATGTGAGCTGGCTGAATAAACATCATTTTTATTCATATCTTTCACATTTACTGGAGTCAGATTCACCGTGTTCACTTACATGGCTGTGCACTTGTAATGACACATTAAGGTTGTTAAGAGGCTAAAAGCAGGTTTAAAACTGTTCCCGTTTAGGTCAACAGGGTGCAAATTTTAAAAAGAGGATAACACGGTGTAGGCAACACCGGTTTTTGTCGTTGTTATCTGTACTGACAGCACTCCAAATTTACAAAAAATGAGCTCAATGTTAAAATTGACCGGAGTTTTCCTTTAACGTTTGAACAACGTTACCATGGGAGTGAACGGAGTTGTCAGTAAGCTTAATAAAGTTTGACTTTTTTGTTGACATTTGTTGACATCTAGTGGATGCATTCGCAAACCCAGTCAAACGTTTGACTGCAGTATCTTATGCGCCTTATAATCCGGTGCGCCCTATATATGAAAAATGTTCTAAAATAGGTCATTCATTGAAGGTGCGCCTTATAATCCGGTGCGCCGTATAGTGCGGAAAATACGGTAATAGCATCTGCGATGGTGGTCCTTCTCCAGTTTGAATACTATTTTTCCGAAGTGAACTAATTCGTTTTTTGCTCTCAAGCTTAATGTCGAACCATTTTCTTCTCACTTCTGGGAATGTTCGATTAACAGATGAAACTCCATTAACTGCATCTGTAATATGCTGCCAAGCTTCCTTTTTTTATAGGACCCGATACGCCACTATGTACGCTTGAAAATAAAATGTGGCGTTTTGAATGAACTTCTGATAATAAAACTTAAATTTCTGCATCTGAGAATTTTTTTTTTCATTCGCATTCATGTCATAATATGATGCCCATATATAGTTGTCAGTCGGATTTAATGGGCGGGATTTATGGTAATTGAGAATGAACGCGCACGCGCGTCCCATTTACGACTGATTGGAATTCATTAACACACACACACACTTCACTATCACATCTGACGTTTACGAAGTATTTGTGAATCAGGAGAAGAGTTTTCGGGAAGGTCTCTTTACGCGCAAATCACTCGCATATTTACTCGAATATTTACGAATGTTTCATGAATGAGACCCATTGTGTTTCCCTCAACAACTGCACACAACACCTCTCTGAGTGCCAAAAACAAGCTTACATGTCTTTAATTCAAGAAGTGTTAAAGATGTCTTAATATCCTCTTAGATTCTTGTTCTTATGAAACATTTGTTTTTGGAAACTTCATTTTTAAGGTTCTATATGGTTTAATCTCATATAGATATTGGGATGTCAATGTGGGAACGTGTGGTTATGATAATGCATATTTTTTTATACTCTTGCTAGCTTCAGTAGCTGTTAAAATGAACAATCCCATCTTCCAAATATCCATAAAACTTATTCAAAGATGCATTCTTATAAATGCATGTTTTAAAATACAGTTAATGTGCCTCAGCTCAACCATCTTCAGTGGGTTTCTGAGGTTTGAGGGGAAAAGATACATTTCTAGTTTCATTCATCTATTTATTCTTCAGACATTCCTCTTTAAATGCAAGTATCAGATGTGTGCAAAGTGAACCACATTTGGTTCTTGACCTTTGAAAATGGCCATTTGAACATGGAGCTGCTTTGAGATCTCCATATCTCTGGCATTGAACTATATAGGGCCTTGAAAATGAAGATGTCAAAAGGAAAGTTTATTAAGAACCAGAGTCTAAAAGGATATTAAAATATCTTTATTACTTCTTGAGTTACAGGCGTACAAACTTGAGGCAAAACACACAGGAAGTGGTCTGTGCATTTCTGAGCCGTCACTGTTGGCAAATAATGAAACACAGATTGCTGAAGTCAACTAACAGAGACTTACCCATCTCTGGGGGGGAATAAAATAATGATGCTGCCATCTTTCTAAAGTCATTTTAACCTCCTGTAAATTGGCTCCAAATCACTTGTCATTTTGACCCCCTCGACAAAATGGATTACTCAGTAAATCATATACATATGGGACATTTAAGATTTTGGATTTCATCACTATTTATGTTTGTCTTTCTATAGAAAAAATATTAACATTATCAAAAATTTGAGTGGGGAAAATTTCCGAAATATGTTTGATTTGACACAAAATTTAATTGACATTAAAAATTCATTGGTTTTATTTTCAAATGGTTTAAGAAAAAACATTAATTATAATAGTTTTTGCTATGATGCCAAAATTATGAAATTTGACTGTATTTGTACCGACTGCTGAATTTTGGTCCTGTGGATGTGAGCGGATTAAGCCTATCTCTTTTATTTATGACTTTTTTTTAATGACAGGCTTAATAACAGCCAGCTTGAATGTTTTTAGTAGGTAAAGGGTCTAACTCTTTAATGAATTTGAAGTTTGCATCATTAATTCTATTACTCTCCTGTTTATTATTGTGAAGCTGCTTTGAAACTATTTCTATTGTATAAAGCTCTATAAAAATAAAGGTGACTTATGGCGCTTTTCCACTACACAGTACCAGCTCGGC